AATTTTTACTCATTTTATCTTCAAAATGTACAGGTGAAGAGAAAAAGATTGTCTAAGATTAAGAACATTTTAATTTTATATGACAACTTAAGCCTTTTCCTGGAGGATTGATTGATTGATTTTTATTTAACGTCCCATTCGAGAATATTTCACTCATTTAGAGACCTCACTGTATGCTTCAAATTTAGACCTATACTCTACACTTGGGGCCATCGGACAGTGAGGGTTCTTTATCGTATCAACGCCTACCATGACACGGGACCTCGGATTTAAAGGTCTCATCCGTTGGATTACAACATTTAATTATGTAAATAATACTCATAACAAATTATGTAGATATTAAAACTTAAATAAAATACCTTTTTACAAACTGTAAGTAATCAAAATCAATTTGTTTCATATCTTCTTTTATTTTTCTCTCTAGGCTTTTTATGTTTTTATAATTTATAATTTTTATTTTTTTTAATTTTCAGTTCTCGAGTTCATCAGGCCAGTCTGACTGTAAATGTATATACAGGTGTATTCGTGGAAAATTTTATTTATTTTTTCAATTAGTTTTTACGGCTTTTTCTTATTTAATTAAAAACCAAAAATATCAATAAATGGATGATTTTAAATTTTCTTATCCATTTCCCTTCAAGTCAAAGTATTAGATACTATGTAATTTCATATTAGCTGAATCAATTTATACTAGAAGTATACTAGTTTAAAAATTCGATAATATACATACATCACATATTCCACGTGGTTGTTGAATACCTTTTTTTTTAGTAAAAAGTCCCACTCTTTACTTGTTCTGCATTTTGAGTCGATCAGCCACCTGTGAGTAATTGTTTTGACAGTTCACAACACAGTTTGGTGTATAAATTGATGCGACTCTTCCAGTTTGGTCACTCGCCTAACTTTTCTTTGAATGCAATTTTAAAACTGCCTGGGTTATCTTGATTTTTGTATATATAAGCGTTGTTAACATCTTGTCCCTAGGAACTTTTAGTTTCTTTATTATACTGACGTAAAACTTCTATTCAGTCTCCTATTATAATAAATTTTCGTTCATGTTACACTCATGAAAGAAGTCAATTGATTATTCTCAAATATAAAGCTTAATTGAGATTTTAAAACTAATGATGACTTGCTTGAAGAACAGAGAGAAAAAACCCTTTGATAAGTACATAACGAGGAAGCTGAACATCTATATTCTGACCATTCTCACTGCTATGGAAGAAGCTTGCATAATTGCACGGACAAAGGTTGCACTCTAACCTCAGAGTCTAAATCTTCTAAAATTCGGTATGCTTTATTAAGATTATAAACATTATGCAATCAACACTTGCAAAACAACTGTTGGGCATACTCATCCCAACGTAGTAGAGGACGCTTGCACTAAAATGAGACCAAAGATGGGTCAACGTAGTCTTAACATCTTTACTTAGGCGTATTGTATAACAAACACTGGGCCAACGTTAGACCGATGTACTCACTCCAACTTAAAGAACACTTGAAAAAAAAAACACTCAAGCTTACACAAGAATATCAGAAGTCTCGATTAAAGTCGTCATTTTGTAAGTTCTATGGTCGATACAATGACCTTGTAAGCAAATACAATTTACCCTTGTCAAATGCTGACTGACTTTTTTTTTCAAACTAATTGTTAGGCCATTATTTACACATTGAATTGTCGAGGGATTTTTTTTCCCGTTATTACCCGATCATTACAAGGAACACACAGCGGGTGTGACCGGTTTGCAAGGGATGCTCTCTCTTCCATGGTACCTAATCCCACCTGTGATTTTTTAGAGGTTCGTGTTTGCTCTGCTCCAAAATGTGTATTGTTTGATGGACTTTCGAGCTTGAATACTGTTTGTTACCTCTATATACATGTAATTCACTAGATTAACGTTGGGCCTACGTAGTCTTACCAGCTTTAATTATAATCTTCACTAAGACCTATGGTATAACAAACACCGGGTCAACGTTGGACCAATGTACTTACTCCAACTTAGAGAACACGGAAACAAATTAACACTCAAGCTTGCATTAGGTCAACGTTGGACAAACATACTGTTACCAGATTAAATAAGCAACTTCGATAAGGTTACATTACAAACGTTGGGCCAACAGAAAGCCAACTTCGGACTCCCAACTTCCTCAGTCTGAAAATATAGCAAAACGGAGCTGGTTAACGTTTGACGAACGCAGGACCAGCTTAAGAATCCCAAGAGATGATTGACATGGTAAGGTTGATCCGACGTTGGCCCAAAAATGTATGCCTAACGCCAACAATCGGCCAACCGTACAACCATTAACCAGCATTATGAATTATGTAATTATGAAATGAGATTTCGCATAATGACTTATCCATAGAGACACCAAAATCTATATCGTATCTGTATAATTAAATGACCAACAGAGACTCTGCATCCGTAGAGACACCAAAATCTTTATCGTATTTGTATAACTTAATGACCAACAGAGACTCTGCATCCGAACTTCTTCATCTGAGAAAATGTTGTGACAAAAGTGAATCACCGCCAGATATGTAAATATTCAGAATTTTCAGCTTTGACAAAATGCGACACTGTACTTATATTGCAACGAGAAAAAATGTGACTATAATAATAATAAATAAAAAGGTATGTGAAGGACTGAGTTTAGTACCTTACATGTATTTGATATAAAAATCAAATACTGATAAAAATTATGATTGTCACATAAAAGTTTGCAACAAAGAACAGTGGGCAAATATAGAATAAGGCAAAAGTAGTTCTTAACATTTAGAGTATAACGAATAACAAATTAAGACGATGTAAATTAATTCATCATTTATGCCATAGTAATTTATATAAATACACACAGTTTTTGCATATATTACAATAGCAATACAATATTATAATGTCATGTACATTATGATATTAATTTTTACCACGTAACAAAACAAAAAACAAAGTCTCTGGTCGACAGTATGAAAAAGTATACAGGTCGCCAGGTCTACAGGTCACAAGTAGACAGGTCGACAATTTTACATGTCGGAGAGAATGCAGGTCGACAAGTAAAAATGTCAACAGGTTCACAGGACTACAGTCGACTGTATGACATTTGAAAAGAAGATGTATATAGAATGTTGGTGTTTGATATAGCTCCTCATTAAATGAGAATCATATATACACTGTATCATTATTTGATTTTAAATATGTTGAAATTCAAAATTGTAGAAAAAAGGGCATGACCATGCATTTCCTGTAATATTGGACATACAGAAATGTCGATATCACCGTAAATAAGAGCGTATGTCTTAAAAATATTTTAATACATATATGTAATTGCCTTTATTTATAAATTCCCTTGCCATTGATATAAAATACTTCATATACTAAAATTTGCAAAATTATCTCTGAAGAAACCTTACTGTAGCATTTATTAAGGAATTACACACGTAGAGCGCAACGTCATAACATATTTAGCGAAATTATAGTGTACAGTATTGCAAGATGAAATTTCAGGAGATTCAGTACTAAGTTTTTGTGCGTTTTTTTTTTTTTTTTGACTTTTATTCCTTAAGCCTGCATCTATTTTAGTTGTTTTTTTTTAACAATAAATGCTAATTCTACACTGTCAAAATATATTCAGTTAAAAACCCACGATGAAATTCCAGACAAAAAGCATTAAGAAAAAAATTGTATTATGTTGCAGAAATTTTTCTGAGGCAAAATGATCAATTTTCCTCTTTTGAGACATTTACAGTACTGTTCGGTTTGGATTTCCTATTTTTCCATGCAGGCTGCACACACAGTTATTTTGTTTTGTAAGATATGTTTGGTTGGTCCGAAATTATAATTAAATTAACTTAACCTTCACAATTTTATAACCATATTGTGACAAACATACATTGTGAAAGTCAAGAATTATAGACCCCACTTTCAATTTTCTATTCTTGGTATATAATAATTCTGACCAAACTCCCAAAATAAATTCTGGAAAATCTTAAGACTTTTAGAAAATATAGTTATTTGTGAAATTTTAAATGCCAAAAGATGGAATAATTGATTATTCGAAGAACATATAATTAAACACATTTTCTTTGTCTCAATTTTAATCTGTCTATTCAAGATATATAAAATAAAACAGCATTTGATTTCATAGTCTATTTTGATTAAAAAAAAAAAAAAAAAAAAAAAAAAAAAGAGAGAAAAAATGTAAATGTTAAATGCATTTACAATGCGAATTACTTCAACATCATTTATCTCTCATTTTGTCATTGTGTATGTTGGTGACAAATAAACATGAAAAAAGACTATACTTAACTAAATAATGACGCCGGGATGTCATCTAATGATGCCATTGACATATTCTAACCCCATCCCATGAGTTAATATATTTTAAACAAGCTTTCATATTATTATGTTCTAACCCCATTCCATAACTTTATATATCTTTCAATAATACATTTCATCTGCGAAATGGTTTCATTTTTCAAAAGTCAAATTAAGCCATTCATAGATCTAAGAACATACATTTTTACTGACGAAGAATTTGTTCGGATTTACCTGTTTAAACTGAAGATAAATTTTCAGAACAATACGGACACACAGGATGCCTGATTAAAGAAGGTTGATTCTGCATATATTTGATAGAATATTTATATTTTATTTACACATTTCCATCATTTATATATATATATTCTAAGATATAAGAGGGTGTCTTGTTTCTGTACATGCACCTAATTCCAAATAACAAATATATTTACATGAACATGCATATAGATATAAATATCGCTAAAAATTTTGCATCCCAAAAAGGAAGAACGAAGTTTAATTCTATGTAAAACTTCCCCTACTGCCTCCCAGTTTGCTTAGTTTTCAGTACAGATTATCTAGAAACAAACGATATACAACAATTAGCTGAATAATTAAAACGAGAAATTACCGGTAAAACACGTGTGTCCTCTATGGATCTGTTGCGCTAGATTTATTTCCTTTTGCCCTCGGGCGGTTTGTCAACGTGTAGTAATATCTATGCAGACAAAAGCAATATGACACACATAATCTCGTGATTTTTCTTTGGAGTTTTTAAGAGATCTAGAACATTTCAATTAATCGGAATAACCACAAATGAAGGGTATGCTTTTTTAATTATTTTTTTTCCTATAATAGCCAAGAAGCCAAAATTAAATTCTTGTTGAGTTTTCGGTATATCTTTAGATTTTTAGTTAACCCCAATGAGAACCTCTTGCGATATAATTGAATCAGGTTCCTTTTTCTTCAGTTAACTTGCAATAATCACTAATACTATGGTTATAAATCTTAATGATTTAAAGACTAAACTGAAAACAATTGCCCCGTGGACGTGTTCAGCTTTCTGTGTATTTTGATTTCATTAAGCCTTGAGGGTCAAGAGTAGTTTGCATGATAATTAATTTTATTAAAGCTATTTATACAGACGAAGATTTGGAGGGAGACATATAATAATGTTTTGAACAATAAATTAATACCCTAATACAATAAAATTATAATCTAACAAAAAGTATATTTACTGCGGTATTAACGCTCCGTAAGAGGAACGATAAATTAAAACTGTTGACATATATACATATATCGTGTAACAAAATAGCTTTATATTAAAAGCGGGGATTCATGAAATAAATAATTACTTATAAAAGGCAAAATATATCCACACAATTGTACGCATACATTTTTGTGTGTTCTTCAGGAAAAATGTACATTTTATCCATAAGCATGAAATTGGAACTCAATGATGGATTATTTCCCGCTTAAATAATACATGTAGTTTACATTGTACTCATTGCCAGCAAATAATGTGATAATCACCCGTCAATGAATACATCTCTTGTGCAATCTAAGTAATTTTACAACTATTTTTTTTTTTGGTTGTTTGTTTTGTTTTTGTTTATTTTCATATTATTGCAGCCCGGAGGACCGGGCTGCTCTATACATATAAGTTTAAGTGTTGGTATATGGGGATTGAGGTGGGAGAAGTTATTCAGAATTAAAGGTTTTCTAAACATTAAAAAGATTGTTAATCAGAATGTTCTTTCCCTTTATAAATTACGAGATACACATTATATTTACTTCCATAAAGTGAATCTGTAAAAATATATATGTTTTTCATATTTAATATATAAAGTTGCTTATCATTTACTATCGAAAAAACGACCGGTCCCTTTTTTTAGAACATCGAATTTTACTTATCGCATAAAAACGTAAAAACGTACTTTACACAGTTCGTGTTTTATATTCTTAAAGTGATAGACATTTTTGAAAATAGGTGATGCATGTGTCTGGTTTCAATTTATATTTTATGCAGCCAACATTTACTTGAGGAATTGATAAAGTTTAAAAGGATATCGTTTTTGTTCGATTTTCATCCGACTATAGGTTTTCAAAATATTCTCGACTTTCGTCTCCATCATTTAGACGCATGCCTTTTTCACACATATCGAAGCGGTTTGATGATCAAGACTCATTTCCATTGTTTACTTTATTTATTTCCCGGGCGACAATTGATGGTTACATCAATGTTTTCTTGTTATTTATTTATTTAGATTTGCTTTGTTTGTGATCTTTTTGGGGGAGGGAGGGGGCAACTGAATCCATTTTTATTGTTTATGTTTTTTGTAATGAGGAATGTGCTTTTTTCGGGGATGAAAGTATTTAAATACACCTGTTTTCTTATGTTTCCTGCACAATTTCACATATTTTCCCCAACAACAGGCTCTCAAAGGAAACTTTACTTTAGGAAATGAAAGCACTAAAGTTCTACTATATATATGAATTTTAAAACTTGAATAAAGGGTGTTAGTCAATTATTTATTATGAGGCGTATTAAGCATATCGTGATTCTAGCTCTTAAAATAATTTCCCATGAAAACTTTAGGCAATTTCAAGCGCCTTTAAAGGACTGCTTCAAAGTCAAATTACCTATAATGGTCTGTATGAACTAATAAATAAAATAAGTTTTATATATATATATATATATATATATATATATATATATATATATATATATATATATATATATATATATATATATATATATATATATATATATATATATGTATGTATGTATGTATGTTTGTATGTATGTATATATTTATAAATAAACAATATTAATTACATACACATACATAGTATTTTTTGACCAGATGAAAATCAGTGAAGGTATGTCGTAATTTTTAGGTTACCGGATAGGACAAACAAAGGGTAGGTCTGCCGATTCCTTAGTGTGGAATTTGTTTATTTTTGTTTATTATTTTAAGGATATCGGTCTCATTAAAAATAGCTAGAATGGATTACCTGTAAAAACTTCAAATTTATCTCAAAAGAATTGAAATAAAGTTACATGTACCTGATATTGCATAGTTATTAATGAATTAATGACCAAATTTAAGAGTTTAAGAAGAAATATCTAAAAATGACAAAATATATGTTTAAAACAATGTACATGTATAAATCAATAAATAAATTATTAAATTTATAAATGAAATTTATTCCTACCGGTATTAAATGGAGGACTCATTTCAAATACATATATATTGTGGTATGTTTTATCTACTTATGTACAGGTAGTTTGTTAAAAGTAACATTCATAATTTACTTTTATAATTCGCATTTTTAATATATAATTGCAGATTTGCCAAATAATTATATATTTCTCGAAATATTTCGCCTGGGGAACATCCATCATTGTCCGATCAGCTGAAATGATAAAACATCATGAGATTCTCAAGCATGAAGTTACAGTAACAAAGGAAGCCTCGTTCTGGAGACAACTTCTCGTATCCCCGAGATTTTATTTTGCGTTTCTTTTCATCCAAGTTTTTATTCTTGCAACTTTTATTTCCACACGGAACTTCACCAATTATGATCCAATGTTAGTTATCAAAGATCAGAAAGTCCAAGAGGAACTGTTTAATAATACAGGGGAACATTGTGAGTTTATTAAAACGTATTTATAAGAGTGTTGTGATGTTCAAGACAGTTTAAGTTTCAAGATAAAGGGGCACAACTTGTGAAATCCAGCTTTAAATTTATGTCCCATTAGAACCTAAAATAATCGTATATGAACTCTTTTACAGCTCTGTTTAATAATGTGTGCAACTGACATATCTATATTCCATTACAAGAATGAAAGTCGTAGTATTGTCATCTATTTTAAAATTCTTCATTTTTTGTCTTAGGTTTAGCATGGAATACGTCAGAGCCAGCACCAGAGACAAAATGTGCCATAATTTCACCGTATCTAAGTACAGTCGTCTTTTTTTATTATTATTTTCTTTTCAAACATATAGTTAATTATGAGCAGTAAGCAGAGTTTCTCAACCTTTCCAGTAAACCAATAAAATCCCTTGAAATTTATGCAAGTGTAAGCCTTAAATTCGCATAAAAATATCGCATGGTAGATAAATCTAACACAACTTATAATGTAATTTGTAATTTAATAATTTCCAGTTGGTTATAGAAAACCTGTTATCAGCGATGAAATCAACTGGGAGGACACGCTACAGAAATATAACTCTGTCAGGTGTGGGGGACGTTTCCGCCCTTCGAACTGCAAAGCACGACAGAAGGTGGCGCTGCTTATTCCTTTTAGGGATAGATACGAACATTTGAAAATATTTATTCACCATATACACCCATTTCTGATGAGGCAGCAATTAGAATATGGAATTTATATAATTGATTTGGTAAGTTAAAATAAATCCTGAGTTATGGAGGACTGATGTATGTTGTTCAAATGATCAGTGGTAAATGAAGCAAGCTACATGTAATTTAGAGAGTTTTTATCCCCACTTTAGGAAAAAAAAGAAGAGGGTAGAAGAACTGAAAAAATATGCTGATGCAGAAAAGTTCAACCTTGACTTTTCAGTTTTTTTAGTTTTAAAGTCAATTAAGGTCTTTTTTTAAACTAAAGAAATTCGTGACATAATTTCCATTGCGGAGCTTACGAATAATAAAAGTTATCACTAGAAAACTGTGTATGCATACATATAAATTTCTGACCTTCACATTTGACCTTTCGAGCCCGGAATCAATAGAGGAGTTTTTTTAAGGTCATATTGTCTTTTACATAATACTTTTCTTTTTTTTCGTAAATCTCTTACCAGGATGAGAGAATACAGTTTAACAGAGGTCTCCTTCTAAATGTGGCGTTTCTCGAGGCCAGTAAGGAATTTGATTACGATTGTTATATTTTCCACGATGTGGATCTGCTACCGGAAAACGATTACAATCTTTATCGCTGTTCTGATCTGCCACGTCATATGTCTGTAGCCGTGGACAAATTCAACTACAAGTAAGAATAAAGATACGTCATATTCACAAAAATTAGTTATTGCATCTAGTTTATGAATTAAAAGGACCAATTTTTACCTGTTAATGCCACTTTAAAGTTTATGAATCTTACACCTATAAGTCTTTCCAACATGAGTGCTTCCATCACATTTTAAACGATTTCTAATAAATTTTTACTTGTTTCCAAAAAAAAAATGTTGGCCCCAGAGCCAGATGATCAGATGATATTCATTTATTATGTTGTCTTCATTCGAACACGCAAGGAGTCTAATAACTGACGTCACATAAGCATCAAACGACGTCGCATTTCGTATTTTAACCATAAGTCACTTATAATAATTATTACAAAATATATTAGTTTTAGGAAAATTAATTGGGCAATTTTTTGTCAAACGTTGAAAACTGTTCTTGGGGTGAAAATATAACAGCAAATTTACAATGACTACTCCCCTAAGGAACTGTGGCAACACTGCATCTATCAATAGTTTCCAATACAATTTTTTTTTCAATAAATATAAAGCACATTATTTAATATCTGGTGAAAATTATTTAATTTGTTTCAATTTTGATATCTGTATGGCATGCTTACACTGTAAAATTTCACCACATAGATGTCAAAATATTGAAAAACTGTGGTTACCATGGCAACCATATCATCCTTATAATCCTGGTGATCATGGTTGATATTTTCATATTATGATACCATTATCGTAAGGCAAGTTATATATAAAAATGAGAAAAAAATCATAGGGCAGATTTATTTTCAAGGACCCTTGCAATCTCTTCCATAAGGTCAAAATCTAGTAAATGAAAGGTGCCCTCAGATTTTTCAAATTTGGGAAACAAGTTTACAATTATAGCTTGGCGAAATTAGGTGTTTCGGGACTTAATTTTTAAGTAAACTCAACGAAAAAAGATACTTTAAACTGTCATTTTCAATGAAAATTGAAGGAAATCAGGTATAAATATGGGAGTATTTTTCCATCCCAGAAAAAGGGAATGTATCACTATTTCCTACAGTCTCTCAGAAAACATTTTTTTTATATCATCTTGTCTCTTCTTTAAATGATATTAAATTGAATATAGATATCGGGTTTTTTTGACGTGACTTCAAATTGAATTCCATGAAAATGATTTATTTTCTACATAATTCTATTATAGCTGCAAAATACTGGAAAAATTAAGTTTAAATCAATTATGACGTCATAATGGATCTAACACCAAAAAGGCAATCTAAACTCATTTACTAGATCTTGACCTTAACGAGGCCAAGTCTAAATGAACTTTATTAAGAAATCTTCGACAGGATAAAATCCATATGTAGACACATAGTGGGGTAAAACATTAAGGGGTTAAAAATGCATAATGCGCGAGGAGTAAGCCGAACCTAATATGCGCTTTTTCAAGGGCCCCATATATTTCCGTATTACCCCTCTAAATGTCAACATTACTAATAATGTGTACATAGGTTAGGGGAATTATTTTCAGAAATTAATAACATCAATGCCTTATTTTCAAAATTTCTAAATTTGAAAGTATTAACAACATTAAAATAGTTGTTAATAGGATCATTCTGATGTTCCGAAACTTTTTTTATATGACCTGATCATGAGCCCTTATTATTGCAGATTGCCGTATGTTGAAATATTTGGTGGTGTATCAGCCATGACAAAAGAGCAAATATTATTTGTCAACGGATTTTCCAACAAGTTCAGCGGATGGGGAGGGGAGGATGATGATATGTATAACAGGTCAGTTTAATAAATGAGTAAGGTCATTATGAATGTATATGCACAAATTACGCAGTGTCTTACAGCTTATATTTCTGTAGTGAACTTGTCTTTCAGCATAACATGTAATATACAGTGTATTTGCTCTTTTCAAAGCTTATGCATTTTGTTGAGAGCTTTCCTTTACATTTAGTAGCATCTGAATCTTCTAACAATATTTACTGTTTTTTTTTTTTTTTTTTTTTTTTTTGAATAATTATCAATTTTTTTAAATAAATTTTTCAGAAACTTTGAAGAGATCATTCAACTTCTCACCCATAATCATTTTTACAGGCTTAAATTTCGTCATATGACAGTTTTAAGAAGTATGAACGACGTCTCAAAATACACGATGCTCAAGCATAAACAAAGTCCACCTAATCCGAAAAGGTATTTATAAATTTGAAACTTTCTCCATTTGAAAAAAAGTCATTACATCTAGCTGCAAGTGTATCGCATCTTTAATTATTTGTTTTGCATGCAGTTCTATGAATAAGGAAATGAAATATTTCGCATACTTTTAGATGATATGCGGAAGAAAATATAAGTTTGTGTAGGATGATTTTTCTTCAAAATGCAATATATTTATCAAGAGTTATCGTTCCTCATACTCAAAATACATGAGGAGTGAAAAAAAAAACGTTTTCGCTGGAGTAGATTCTATACTTTAATAGTGTGTGAGTGTGGAAAATTCAGTTGAAATCTCGATATAGTTTCTGTCATAATTCAGGTTTTTGTACCATTTATATAAATGACAGAGATAAAATTATGGCTTTCACTGGGAGTACACCTAAATTCCCTCACGATGACTCCTCTAGTTTTGAGTGGTCTACATTGTATCTAAATGTATATGTGGATTCGGTATAGTAGTAATTCTTAAACTCTACAAATGTATATACTTATCGTACGAAATAACAGTCTCTAGCCGCTTCAAAGTAACGTTTATTTTGTTTGTTTCTGTATTTATTTATACAGTGCAGTAAGCGGCTGAACTGTAGCTCCAAGGTTGGGAAAATTCGGAAAGGCGTGAGGCAAAACAGAGAGCTACAGATTCAAGCATCGTAAAACCGACGATTTACAGCGACACTTTTTGTCGCTCGCTGCAAGTATTATTTTTGTATTATATGCGTTTCCCAGCTTAAAGGGGGGTTATAAGGTTAAGGAAGTTCTAAACACTGCACACTAACGAGTTCTATTTGTAGGGTAGTTTTATTGAGTTAGAGTGATCTGCCCTTAGAAGAAAAATAGAATAAATGGGAATCTACAGTTAATGATACAATTTCTTATGAATTAAAGTATTTTTAATGTTATGTTAGACCAAGATTAAGTAACTGAATACATAATTTCCATTAATTTTTCCGATGCAAGTAAACAACAGTGATTTCTGTTCACAAATAGTTCACTTGTCTTTGAACATTTTTTCTGCAGAAATAAGGCAGGTACCCTTAGTTGAAAATGAACTAGATACACTGAATATGTGCTCCTTTATATGATATAGTTTTCTCAAAGTCCAAAAAGCATTCTTCATTAGTGTTTAGAGCTTCCTTATTTTTCTGATATTATTTCCTGATATTATTTACCTTTCAACTTGTACAAACACCCCTATATAGCCGAGAATGTCAGCTTTCGAAATTAACATTTTGACGTCCTTATGGTGGAATCATGCTAAAATAACGCGCACTCAAGGTAAATAAAGCATCAGGAATAGGAGTAAAGTATATGGCTATTTAATAGATACAATACTTTAAGCAGGAGAACACATATAATACAAGAAATAAAACCCGAAGCGAGCGATAAAAAAAGCGTCGCCATAAATCGAAGGTTTTTCAATGCTTAGATCTGTAGCTCTCTAGTTTGCATGTCCGAATTTCCTGCACCAAAGAGCTACAGTTCAACAGCTAGCAGTGCAGTGAAATAATTGTATGCCTCATTTCTATTTTGTTTTTAAACAGATTTAAACTGATCAGCACAGGGATGAAACGGGTGGGGAAGGACGGAGTAAAAAACTTGAAGTATAAAGTTATGAAGAGGACAGATTATCCACTGTATACATACGTCAAAATTACATTGTAACGTTTTTCATGCTTTTTTTTTGTGTTCATCAGAACTTTTTTTCCCGTATTTTTGTAGAATGACAAAAAACTCGAAAGGAGTCTAAATGATAATAATAAAATAAATAAATAAACTATCTGTGTTAAGGCTTTTGTTCATTTAATTTTCTTCGTTTAGATTAATTTATATGCCGGTGAAGAATAAAAGATTATTTAAAATAAAAGAACTATGATTTTGCCATTTTATCATTAAAGACAAAGACATTAAATGTCACCGTTGAGTCTCAATTTCCGTCCCAACTGCCTCAATACTCCCCTCTTGACGAGACACTCTAGAGTTAAATACTGACTGAAACCCGTCTTGATCATATAGCATAAGAATAATAAAGAGCTGATATTTTATAAAATTTTAAATTATATAAAATACAAATTTTCATAATTATTTTTTTTTTAATTTCTGCTTTCTTATGTAAACTGTCGTTACATGATCACACTAATTAAAACATTTAACAAGAAAACCTTCATAAAATTATCTTTTCCTAGCAGATAATGTGTTGGGCAAGTTTATTTATTTGTAAAGTTGTTTTCATTTCTCAGGTGAATCATAGTACTTTAAAACGTGTTTAAGGGATTTCAACAGATTCATTTTATAAACAGATTAGTTCAGAAGACAAGTAAATTATCCTTCCGAAATATTTATTTGAATCATCAATTTCAAATTTTATTTTTATTTTTCATCTTCAAGTGACTTGCACTAAAATCCCAACTTTTCCCATTATCTGATACATATGTATTTTTAAGCGAAATGTCATATAGTGTGTTTGTTTTACATTAAAATTTTAAAATTAATTTCATATTATCTTAATTTAAGATTTGAAATTTTAAATCACAATCTGTATTACCTTATGAACATTATTATTCTTAAAATAATTTTCTGCCAAAGGATTATGTTACCGGATAAGAAGTAAGGAGTGTCTGCTCTCTTCTGATATACATTCCCTTTTTTTTTTTTTTTTTTTTTTTTTTTTTTTTTTGAAAAAAAAAATCAAAAAAATTAATTTCCATACAATTTAATTTAAAAAAATGATTTTTTTTAAACGTTAAAAAGCCAAAATAAAACATCATATTTCATATATTGTTGAATGAAATCTTTTAAATTTTTCTTCCTTGCTGATATTTTCAATCATTAAGCAGGACTGAGCAAAGAACATTTTATGCATGGAAACAGCAGGAACTTTTTTTTATTACATGTAAAATAGAAAATAATACGTGTATGAATTCGATCTTTTAAACGCAACACGCATCACAAAATTTAGACGAAGTCCATGGAAACAATACAAAAGTGGAGCAGAGAAAACACGGCCCTCCTAATATATCCAAGTGGGATCAAGTGCCATGTAGAAGTAAGCATCCCCTGTTAACCGGTCACGACCGCTGTGTGCTCTTTGTCATGATCGGGCAAACGGAAAAATCCCCAGACAATTCAGTGTGAAAATAATGATAATGGAATAATGAAATAATTTGTATGAAAACGTCAGCGAACATTCGACTAAATGATAGATTGTATTTTATATACGTTTATATAATATGTCCTATTTTGATGTAGTTATTTTATACTGTCGAGGCTAAACCTAGGTTGAATTAAGATTTTTTTTATCGGAATTGAATGTAATTTTCAGGTAAACGTTTCTGAAGAAAAGAAATACGTCGATTTTAATATTGTCTCACCTCTGAGCAAAAATCTACATATATGTCTTAGCACCTCTATGGAAGTAAGTCCTTGATCATAAAATTCGTAATCTTAATAGGAACCTTAATTATGTCTTTTAATACATCATAAGATGCAAAGGTTACTCACAAAATATTCTTCTATATAAATTATCAAAGTAAGAAATCATAACAAGAATTTTAAAAGTACATTTTAGTTCATTTCTATTTTAGGGACCTCTTATTGCATTTAGAAGCGGATCCAGACATTTTGATCGGGGAGGGGGGAGGGGGGGGGGCTGGGGAGACAAAGCACATCAGCTCTAACAGATATCGGACTTTAACGTTTGTTAAAAAGCAAAAAAAAAAAAAAAAAAAAAAAATCTAATCAACTTCCCAAACGCTGAAAAACCTATTTTGTGGGAGGGGGTGGTGGTTCTGGAACCTCATCGTACCCCCCCCCCCCCCATCCCCTTCAAAATCTGCGGATGCTATTGATAAACTAGGGATTAGAAGTGGCTGCATTAAAAGGGATTATAATCCAAATATTTAATCACAAGATGAAGAATCCAAAAAGGTACAGTATTACTAAGACCACAATGTTTTCTCGGACGTCCGTGTCGAATTGTACCCGCCCATTTCATTGTCTATCATTAAATGTTTTGACTGTAACAGATGGAAATGACGTAAGCTGCATATTTCTAATTTTGCCAGTTAATGTTCCGCGGTCTTAAAAGGTACCAAACGTACAATCCGGGAAAATACGGACTTAATCAAAAAGAACACAATGTGTTGGCTTACCACCGACAGGCTCTTAATTTACTACATATTACTTTATAGGAAAAATGCGGAAAAATACATGTAAACCTTTTACAGTGTTTTATCTGACAACCGACATATGCTTTTATTATTTATTAAATGCTCATGAATTATGATGCTCTCTGATTGGTCTATACGCCTTTTCCTGAGGTGTACCTCACAGTGACTTCACCTCAAATGAAGTTTTGGGAGGTTTATTCGGGTTTTTCCTCTTGACCAACCATAGATTTGCTTACATTTTTTTCGGCCTATCAATTTGCACGTTTTTAGGCATGCGTCGTTGTGAATATAAACATGACAGACGCCAGTACCGAAGAGACTTAACTCTTCCTTAGTAAGTATTTGAGTATTAATTGTTTATAATACTATTTTCCGCTTTTAAACATTTGTTAAACTGTTATAATTATAATGTATTGTTACACTACGCCTTATATTAGGTACATGTATTTTTATATGTGTTGGTAACAAGAACTCAAGTGTCAAAAATGTTGTAAAAATCCTGATTATCTAATAAGACGGTTATTGACTTTTGAAGTCGGTCTACTCGTGACTATATGGATCTGATCAGGTATTAGTTTATTTATCCTTCGGCCGCTGTCAACCAATATCTGACCAGGTCTGTATAGTCACAAGTAGACCTCAACAAAAGTCAATACTTGTATAATATTCACCTTATAATTTTCAGGGGGAAAATCCAAGAATGTACATGTTGTATTTGCATTTTATAGAAAATCTGATAGAGAAAGACCAGAAAAAATGTAGATATAACTGTAACTCGACAATGCCAGCTCTTCCGAGTTGCCCATTTACAGACAATAGAAGCAGTACCGCCTTATACTCGACTATGTACAGTGAAACTGGACCCCTGGAACCTCTACAGGTCCTAAACATCGTCCATTCTACATTACACATATTTTGTTCTTCAAATCTAAGCGGTCTTTGCTACTCCAAGAATAGTGTTTTATATTGTATAACTATTGCGTTGTTAATAGTAGGAACTTTTATGAAAACTTGCAACTTTTGAGAATGCTTTTTAACGAAGAGTGGTTCTTCTAATTCATGTTTTCCGGAGAAATAAGAATTTGACGTTTTTTATGACATACCAAAAATGTTGGTATTTTATTTTTAATTGTAAAAGGTGAAGATAACGAACAGTGATCAACCTCATCAGGTCAAATCGTAAACAGGTCAAAAAAAACCCTGACTCCTGAAAACACCAGAGATGGGATCAAGTGCCTTGAGCTCTATTGACCAGATACACTGAGTACTCTGTAAAGTTAAATTTGGTATAAAAGCAATGATTTAAGAAATGGTATGCACCATGTTAGACAAAATACGAACCAACGGCAGGTTGTATCTAGAAACGAATTCATTACAAGGTCATTACATGTACATGTATAATGACAGTAGAATTTGCGACAAGTTGCCCTTAAACGAGGTTGTTGAAATCCTTGTTACATCAACTCATTTGGGGCAGAGACTAAAAAAATCGGTGTGAGGCAGCAGTTTATTGCCAACGTATTTTCCTGAATTTCAAGAAAAATCAAGTGTTTCTTTTTCTTTTTTAAAGAAACTTTAAGAACTACCACTCAAGGCTTATTACTTGTTGAATTTATTGGTGCACCAAGCAACTTAATTATCGCATATATCATATTGTCATGACAATATATATCCAAATTGTAAATTGCAAGTCTTTATACCACTCATACAACTTAACATTGTATTGTTTCAATGGATTTTTGAGCTTGAATGCTGTTCCTAATTTTATTATTAAACAAAGATTGTTTTGAACAATGTACCTTTCCCCCTCTATTTTGAATTTGATTCCCCAGTTTCCTTTTACGTAAGAGTTTTGAACGTTGAAGTACACGCATTAGGTTGTTCAAAAACCTATAAATTATGTACTTGTCACTAGAATGCAGCATTGGGTATGTTGAGTCCTATTCATCCATTTATCGGTATAATATTAAATACTGTTTCTAACTTCTAATTGCGTACACAGTAAGGGTCTTTGCTTTTGTTTTTCTTTATTCTGTTCAATTGTTACTCCTGTAAAATGTCTAACCATTCCTATTTTGTAAATTGTTGTCTTATTCGCACATTCTGATTCCTTTGCGGCTTCACGTTTTCCTGCCAATTGTTCATAGTTTTCTTGGCCTTTTCCCAAGGATTCTTAGTTAAAGGTGAATTGTATATGCTCTACTGTGATATGGGGGTTAATCCAAAAGCAATGTTACATGTGCTATTAAATCTTTGACAATTGGAACACAGGAACAAAATTCAATGTACTAATACCTTTTTTTTTTTCGTGAATTTTGCCTAAAATTTTCACTGAGCTAAACAAGATACAAAATAGGAAATAAAAAATATACTTTAAGAATATAAAAAATAAACAAAAAGTTAGCCTATGGCAATTTTCATAGAAATAAATTAAGTGAAATATTTTAAAGGTTCTTTGGGGAACCTAAGATTTGTCGCAAGAGCAGTAAAATTGGTGTCCATGCCATTTTCACGATTTTTATTGTTTATAGTTTTTTTTAATTATTTTATCTATTTATTTATTTATTTATTTTGAGATGGATCACTACTCGTTATCTTCACCTATCAGGTTAGAGTTGATTTGCAATGAGATATAGATCAAAAAGCAATGTTACAAGTCCAATAAACTCTGTGGAATATGGAAAAAAGAGAGACCACGCACTTATACTTTTTTTTTCTATTTTGATTGTTGAATTCATTCAAAAAAAAAAAAAAAAAAAAAAAGAAAGAAAAGAAAATCAAAATACTTAAAAGAATATATATTTTACATGAAGTTAGGTTAAGTCTTTTGTCGCACGGCAAGCAGTGTGAACGAAAGGTGGAAATGAAAATTAATTAAAAACATAGGAATAAGAAAATTGGGAAAGAATAATGGCAATTGTGTAATTACTTTTAGGTCAACCCTAGTATCTGCGATAAATCTTTTATTTCAAATTCAGGCCTTCTTTCAAGACATATTCTGGGATACCTCCTCTCCTCATACAGATTTTATAAGAACTTTTGCGTTCTTTCTACAGCAAAACACTTTTCTGCCCAGATATCCTGATGAGTAATGTTTTCTTTGATTTGTACTTATTAGTTTTGCAACAATGATGACTCTCAAGAAAATGCAGCAATGTATACCACTTCTAACAGCTCTTAGCTGGACATGGACGGTTTTTTTTAATGTAGAAGCATGTCCTTGTTCCTCTTCAATCGATTGTTCCGAATTTTGTTCCGTATTCATTCTGATACCCTCAGATCTTTTCACAGCAATAGCATGATTTCTGATAAGATCGGAAGGTAGTGAACACTGCATTTTTTTTTACAAAGGGAACAATCTAATAAAAAGAACAAGGACACGGTTCTACAAAGTTTCATGTTCATGATCAGGTCTGCAATTGATCAATATGTGTTCAAAAACAATAATTTGTATCCTAAAACCCTAAGTTTTATTTACTCTCAGATAGCAGTTTGCGTTTAAAAAGGATTCATTTTTTATCTATATAAATGATCATTCAAATAAGAACTGATATGAATTCTATCATTTCAAAGATACTGGGATATTTTACAGACTACAACTGTATTTTTAACTAACATAAGACCTATATTGACCAACTCACTCATCTCTGTCATCTTGAGCTTCATGACATATGAAATATGTACATAATTAAAATGCCTTATTATGGTTCTCTGATTAGAATAATTGTTTTACGTATTTTTTATTTATCTTCTGACGAGAATTGAAGTAAAGAACTAAACTATCACAAGCCATTAGTCTCGATAAAAGGAGCTGGAATAAAGAAAGAAAAGTCCAATTCAAACGCAAATTCCAAGATAAAACATGAATTGTAACTTATTACTGAAAAAGAATTCGATGAATGTCAAAATAAAATACTGCAGTGACGAAAAGATTAAATGTCTTTAGAAAGACGAAAAACAAAAACAAAAAAAAAAAAAAAAAAAAAAAAAAAAAAAAACAAATCAAAGAAACAAACCAAAAAAAAACAACAAAACAAAACAAACCAAAAAAAAAAAAAAACAAAAAAAAAAACAAAAAAAAAAAAAAAAAAAAACAACAAACAAACAAACAAAGAATCGATAAATAAATACATTGAAATCTCTTATTATTGAGGATGTTTAATTTGCGTACTTTTCGTGGTATAGAGAGATTTACGAATTCATTCCCCACCCCTTCTCCCTTCCCAAGAAATATTCAATTCCATATTATAGTATTTTGCTTCTCATTCAACAACGAAATTAAATGTTCTTGAACAAATATTTTTTTCATCTAAAAACTTTTTTTGACACGACAGAAATAAGAAAATATAACTTAAATTAATAAGCAAATAAAATAATTAGAGGATTAATTAGTACCTTATTTAATTATGATCGATGAGGAATTGATTAGAGTCATCTGTTTGCATGTAAAATATACAGTTTTGTACCTGCAAGTTGTGTTAAAATAAGCGTGCAAAATTTACTTTACATGTATTATTTGGATTTATCATTTCATATTTTTCCAAGATGATTATATCGCTTGCAATCTTACATCTGGAGAACTAGTATTAGTCCCCGATCAGTTGAAATGATAAAACATCATGAGATTCCCAAAGCATGAAGAAACAGTAACAAAGAAAACCTCTGTCTGAAAACAACTTCTCCTATCCCCGAGATTTTATTTTGGGTTTTAATGTAAATTCTACATTGTACAAACAATGGGAAGAGTTTTGCCAAAATAGATTATCAAAGTTTTACATTGGAATATTTAGGGAAGTAATCTTCAAGAAAATTCTACACACACGTACTATGAAGTTGAAATTAAAGGGATTCAGGAGTTCCTCACTAAGACCATTTATGTAATTTTTCGAGTCCATGTTTTCCAACAAACTGTTAGTATTTTGAAGGGCTCTTATTGTGCTCCTTTAACAATAGTTACTTCCACTCTTAGGTTTAATTGATATATCTCAGTGAACTTGAAATAAAAGAACCACATAGTTCGCCACATCTATTTCCAAGATGGATGTTTTATTAATGATAAGGGCCAACAAACGATTTAATGGTATGGCAAATGAGACGAAATCAACTTTTATTTATATCGTCATATTCCGCTGCCCCTGCATATGGTGTATACTTGTCCCACCTAAGTCGATACTCATTAGCACTTTTTGAGAATGATCAGTTTTTAAACCGCGGCAGGCTACTGACAGATAAGTTAATGTTTCATGGATATCAACAACCATCATTTGGTAAATTCTACGGTCGTTATAGTGACGTTGCTAACAAATAAAACATATCAATGGGTCACATTTCGGCAGAGGTGTTTCATACCAATTGTTTGGCTTTTATTTATGTACTTTATTTGACAACGGAATTTCTGTCTACCTGATCAATACATAGGGCTCACTGCGGGTGTGACCGGTCAACAGGGGATTGTTACTCCTCCTAGGCACCTAATCAAAACTCTGGAATTTCGGAGAGTTTGTGTTTCATGCAGTTTACAAGTTTATTTGTTTGTAGACATTTTAACCTTCACCTAATTTATTCTAAAGAAACGTTGGACAAGAAAAGATAAAACATGCTTGAAAGGTTCCAGACAGATAATATACTCTTACTTTTCAATAGTGGCCCCTGAGGGGTCGGATTGGTCCTTAATATGAGATCATATTATTATAATAGAATGAATTTAAATTAAATCTTATAGGAAAATTTCCTCAATTTTTTTTTATACCCCATTACCTTATTAGAAAAAATAAAATTTTAAAAAGTGTTTGAAAAGGTATGAAATTTTCTTAGAAAGGATCGTGTATCAGAAAAAAAACATGTATTTTTTTTGCTTCTTGGCATGTATCTTAATGGTATCCTTAAATCCTAACAAACTGAAGTGACAATTATTGTTATTTTTGAAACTCGTATCTGTTAAATAATATGGGCGTGGCATTTAAAAATAAATTCCTATTTTCAAATACATTATCCATAGGCTTAAGACTGAAAATTCTAAAATAAGACAGACACAGTGTATAATATTCATCTAACACGAGATTATCAAATAAAGGGAGACGGAGTTTGCTTTGTTCATTTTTTTGAAAATATAAGAATAATAAAAATTAAAGAAAGAAAATGATTCAATTCATTTCTTACAATAAACATTTTATGTGGATTAATTGTACTTGTCTTGGAAACTTGTATGCTAATGAAATCTGCAGATATCGCTAAAATAAATACGTAGTCCGGATTCAGAATCATGTAGGAAAATATTCTTATATAGGCTTACAAGTTCAATATTAACGTTAAGTTACATGTGTCATAATTCGTATTAAAAATGAAAACTTTATGAATAGATAAACTATCCCAAAACACATTTATCCAGGAATTTTATGGAGGTTTTTATTTACTTTTTTTTTCATTAATATGATTATGATGTTACTATATATAATTTTGAAACGAGAAAACGGAAATAATAAATAAGTAAATAAATAAATATAAATGAAACATATAATAAATAAGTTAACATGTTTGCATGTATTCATATTTCCACCCGATTTTTCCCAATTGCCAATCCTTGAATATGTTTTCCGTGCAAATGTTCATGGAGGTAAAATTTGTATTTTCTATCGCAGACTGCTAGTGTGCGTGAAGGTATGTTTGAGAGTGTTTGGTAAGCTACAAAATATTTGTTTCTTTATTGTTATCCTCCTTTGAACATCTAATTGAAGTAAACTAGAGGTAGAAGAGTTTCATTTCCTGAAATCAAAGAAGCTTATCACAATTCTTTTTATCATTTATGATTTATTCATACTCCTTTTGATTTTATTTTCGTTTGTTAATCTATAACTGTAAACAACAAAGGTTTCTCTGTGGAACACAAAAAGGAACAAGCAGGGAAAAAAAGTTACAATGTGATTTTTATGTATGTAAAGAGTGGATAATCTGTCCTCTTCATAATTTGGTACTTCAAGTTTTTGACACCATCTTGCCTCATCCGTTTCATTCCCGTGCTCTTCAGTTTAAACCTGTTTTTAAAAAAAATATGCCATGCATTTATGCATTGTACAATTGTTTGAAGACACTGTATAAACGCAAGATCAAAATAAAAGATACACTGTTTTAGATGTACAGTAGGAATCACTAATCTCCAAATATCATGCAGGAAGTACCCCTCATGCTGTTGTCATATACTATAGAATAAATTATGTAAATAACTGATGCCAAAAAAAGAGAGAAAATCTTTAGTTCCTCGTACTCTCTTTACTTGGTGCGTAAGAGGAAAGATGACATAATAAAGGAACGAAAACATTTGACAGATATTGCATTTTGACGAAAAATATCAGTAAAATACAAACTTAGGTTTTCATAAGCAGAAAATCTGAAAGTTTGTTTGATTATTTGTTTTTTTTTTTGTTTTTTTTTTTTTGTTTTTTGTTTGTTTGTTTGTTTTTTTTTTTTTGTTTTTTTTTTTTTTTTGTTTTTTGTTTAACGTTCCTCTCGAGAATTTTTCACTCATATTGAGACGCCACCACTTGCCGGTGGAGAGCTGCAAATTTTGACCTATACTCGGCACTCACGGCCATTGAGCAGTGAGGGATCTTTTTCGTGCCAGCAGCTACTGCGACATGGGACCTCGATTTATACAGTCTCATCCGAAGGACCGGTCTCCACGTCCCGCAGTGGGATTCGAACCCGCGACGTAGGATCAACTCGTTACTATGCTACTGTAGTGCAGACGCTTTAACCACTGCGCCACGCTGGCGACAATATCTAAAAGTTTTTTTTTTTTTTTTTTTTTTTTTTCATTTCTGTAGATTTAATACATAACTTACAAATAGTACATAAAACTGCATGTATGAAAAATAATAAAAGATTTTATAAACAACGATAACAAGAGAGAGACATTCTTTTTTTAAATCAGAGAATGTTCGGAGAATACAGACCTTGCAGGATTAGGCTGGCTTTTTGTATGCTTGAGCATTATGTATCTTGAGATGTTGTATATGCTTCTGAGGACCGTCATATGATGAAATTCAAGCCTGTAAAAATGATAATTCGTGAGAATTTTAATAATAAACTATTCTTATTTTTTTTATTTTTATTTTTTTTTTTGAAAATTATCCCATTTTCCAAAAGAAAAAAAAAGAAAAGAAAAAAATGATAAATTCGGAGAAGAAAATCTGGATAAATCTTTGTAAGTTCCAAATGTTACTAATACAAGAAAAATGAAGATTTTATATAAAACGATCAAAAGATTATTTATAATATGCTAACTTTTACTATAAAAATGCAAATGTTTCGTTATAGAAAATATACTGACTTATTCATTAACATTAAACAGCTAGAATGCTGACCTGTTAAACATGTCATCATCTTCTCCTCCCCATCCGCTAAACTTGTTAGAAAATCCGTTGACAAATAATATTTGGTCCTTCGTCATGGCTGACACCCCACCAAATAATTCAACGTATGGTAGTCTGCAAAATGGGCTCATGGTCACATTATTTTGAGATTATTCTGTACAAATGTTCAGATATTTAAACTTAAAAAAATATTTTACAAGGATCAATACATGAAGAAATCCGAAGTTTTTTTCTATACAGACAGATAAATACGATGTTAGACTATTCAGTGAGATGTTGACCCGGTTGGTAAGATATTTGACCGTTGTGACGATTTTTATGTCACAATTAATTTGCATTTAATTTGCATTCGTTAATCATCTACTAAGGCAGGATCAAACGATAAAGTAAGTAATCAATTGATTAACTAATTTCTGTGACTATCATCTTGATTTATCCTTACTTGTAGTTGAGTTTGTCCACGGCTACAGACATATGACGTGGCAGATCCGAACAGCGATAAAAATTGTAATCGTTTTCCGGAAGCAGATCCACATCGTGGAAAATATAACAATCATAATCATATTCCTTACTGGCCTCTAGAAACGCCACATTTAGAAGGAGACCTCTGTTAAACTGTATTTCATCGTCCTGTTAATATAGGCTTACAATATAAATACACATTTAGGTAGACATATATCAACCGTCATGGACTCCAAATACAAACAGTCAATATATGAATATGAATAAATAAATAAATAAATGAATAAAAATATGCGGGAAGCATTTTAGCATATTTGATACATACATTATTATTATTCCTTCAGTATTGCATAGGAAACCACTCATAATTGATGCGGTATGATTTTTTTCCAGCACAGGAATATGTCCTATTTCAACCTCAGTTACACAAAGATATAAACACAATATTTTCATTTGTCATTAGATCATATCAACACCAAGCATCTGGCTTTTTATTCTGCTTACCAGATCAATGATATAAATTCCATATTCTAATTGCTGCCTCATCAGAAATGGGTGTATATGGTTTATAAATATCTTTAGATGTGCATATCTGTTCCTAAAAGGAATGAGCAGCGCCACCTTTTGGCGTGCTTTGCAGTTCGAAGGACGGAAATGTCCACCACACCTGACAGAGTTGTGTTTCTGTAGAGTGTCCTCCCAGCTAAAGTCATCGCTGATGTCAGGCTTTTTATGACCAACTGGAAATAATTAAATTGCAAAACGATTAGCGTAATTTTATTTTGTTTATTTATTGATTTTATAATTTTTTTTAACAGTTTATCGAAAATTTTAATGCGAGTCTTTTTGCTCTGATGCAAATGAATTTTATATTAATATCAATTTATGGAGAATTTTGGCATTATGTTTAAAAACGAAACAATTGTTTTGTATGCAAATAAAGTATGAAATGCAGGGTATACACAAGGATAAAAATTATAAAGGTGTACTTACTCAGATACGGTGAAATTATTGGACATTCTCTTTTTGGTTGTGGCTCTGACGTATTGAATGATAAACCTTGAGAGGAAAGAAAGATTTTAAGGGATTTCTCCATAAATTATGTTATTTGACAATAATCATTCTGATCACATTTTTTTTTACATTAAACACAATGTATGATAAACTATGGTAGAAATTTAAGAATGTAACTTCGATTCATATGGAGAATAAAATGTAAAATTTCAGGCTGGATTTTAAAAGATTTTTACCTTGAACTGTCCCAACGTTAAACTATACTCTGAAAAAAATCTAAATAAATATGATTTAAGGAATCTCACAATTCAGCACTGTTTTATTAAAGAGCTCATCTTGAGCTTTCCGTTCTTTGATGACTAGCATCATGTCCCCGTTATTAGAGTTCTTTAGGGAAACAAAAATAGCAAGAATAAATACTTGAAGGACAACACACCCGAAATAAAATCTCGGTGAAACGAGAAGTCGTTTACAAAACGAAATTTCCTTGGTTATTGTTAATATTATGGTTGAGAATTCCATGACATTTTCTCATCTCAGCCGATTGGGAAATGGCAGTTTTCCTTGCGTTGGAAAGTAAAAATCTGAAAAATAAGAAGAGTTTAAATTACAACATATTTCACATGAATAATCTCAAAATGCATTAACCTTGCAACAAGATTCTACGAAATCCTCCATTTGCACATTTTTTAAAATTATTTATTTATTTTTCTTTTTATTGGTTATTTTATGTTAATGGACATATCCATTTCTTAATTGATATTTCTTATAAAAAAAATTTCATGCTTTATGTAAAGGTAACTGCAGTTTTGGTTTAAGATGAATTTCAGATTTATATATTGTAACTCAGCTGCCAAAGTAGGTTAATATTCTGATTAAAGCATTATCCTTAATAAGAGATTTTGAAATTTCAATGAAAATATCATGTATGAAAATTCAAGATTTATATTAACAATATAACTTTTTGCAATGGAAAATTTGATAGATTGTGTATTTTTTTAATCTGCATTTTAGATATTGTTTTCTTTATATATACATATTTAAGACCTAAGCATTTGTATTATATTCTGTAGAAGGTTTTCGATATTTAGCTGTTCACTGTATATGTTTACACATTTATGGATTTGAAAGAAAATTGTCCTTGAATATATAATTCTTTTACTATATTTATTACTACCAATCTGAATATCGCTACACTCTCTCTTGGTTGTAACACACTGCTTCCCTAATTGCTTTAATGAGTTATTTCACCCCAAATAAAGTCGGGACAACATATTATTATTGCTAAACCTATAATATATATCGCTGTTCGGATCTTCCACGTCATATGTCTGTAGCCGTGGACAAACTCAACTACAAGTAAGGATAAATATAAATATAGATATAAATTTACTTGGTGTTTATATACATTACCAATCTGATCGGTTATTTTATTTATAAATTTATATAAAATTCAATTCGAACGAAAAAAAATATTTTACCATTGCAAGGCACATTATTGTAACATTCAATCGTTTACAGTGAGACAGGAACTACAAAATGAATTTTAAAAAATTTAGTCCTCCTAAAATTTATGGTTAAAATTAAGTATTGACATATAGGCAAAGTGGCATTTGTGGTCTAAAATGTCACACTTAAAGCTTACAGCTGGCGTGGTTTGTGTTACATCAAATCTGACCAATTAAATTTAAGCACTAAAGCAGGTGTGGTTAAAAGTACGCTATATATATACAACCATGTAGCACTTACACTGTTAACAAGTGTATTGTCTGCTTATTAAATCATAAAATCATTGTAGTACTCAAGCTGGCTTGATTTAATTTGTGATTTATATAACTCAACTAATATAGCATTGAAACTGTGATTGTTAGAATTGTGTTATTCATGTATTACCAATTAAACTACTTAAAGAAGCATGCTCCTTATCATTTGGAATCCAAAGGGATACATTGAATACATCCAAATTTTCTTTTGTTTGAGTGCCACAATTTTTTTTTCTGGTCAAAATCATCAATCATGACAAATAAATTTTATATATTTGCATTTAAAAAATCCATGCTAAAATAAAAAAAAAAAAATTAGTTCTGCTGATGTCAAATAAATTAACTAATTTCTACAAAGTCTTTTTTTTCTTATTATATGAGGCAAATTATGCTCATATTTCCCTCCTACAATATGCGAAATACAACATTGTATTTATCAGCAATTATCAAAAGAAACAACAGTAATTCTCACTTTGTACAAATACAGGGAAAATAGTCCATATTAAGATTGATCATAAACAATTGCAAAAAACTCAGTAATTGTCAAACTTTGACAGCAAAATCATAGATTATCAACAATTTTTAGACGAAAATTTCATACCATACATGACATAGTTGTCTGTTTTTTAAAAATATTATTGGACACTGAAAAGCACTGTTGTTGGTGTAAGAGTTATCGTACTTGCAATGAAAAATGTATATTTTATTGTTTCAAGGACTAGTGATTGCATAATAAAAAAATAATTAGGCAAAGCAATGTCAAATTACAAAATAGCAAAGTGGGAGTTAAGGTGGCTTCCCGAATTTTATGATTGTGGCAGATATAAAAAAAAATATATGGACGAAAGAGAAATTCCATAAATATATTTAATTTTGAGTTGGAAATTTGCATTGTCAATTATACTATTGTGCATTCAGAATCAGATTCAGAAATTGATATTTTAATTCGGATTTTTAAACAAATAACACAAATTCTGTAGAGCTCTTGACCGTGCATTAAAATATACATTGGCCACAAAAGGTATTTTGATTTTTTTTTTAAGTTTCTTTAATTGATACGTGACAGTTCACTGTAGCTCAGTCGGTAGAGCCCTCGCTCCGTGATCGGGAGGTCGTGAGTTCGAATCTTGGCCACGACTGATCTAAGTCGATAAAAAATGGGTAGCAACTGTTCCTTCGCCATGCGCTAGGCACTTTGAAGTGAAAGTTACGGGTCCTTCGGATGAGACATTAAAAACTGGGGCACCGTGTCACGGCAGGCGTTGGCACGATAAAGATCCCTCACTGCTCAATGGCCCTGTGTGCCGAGTAAAGGTCAAAATTTGAAGCCCTTCACCGGTATATGGTGACGTCTGTATATGAGTGAAAAATTCTCGAATGGGACGTAAAACAACATACAATCAATCATTAATTAATACATTAAAAAGTCTCCCTTAATCATAATTCTACAGGACATTTAGACTTCTCATAGTCAAACTTTATTTATACAGGAGTTGAAGGTAATTTTAAGGACATACGCAACGTACCTTGCTTACTGATAATTTTTAAAGATATTCTTAATTTAAGATTATAGTGCCATCAGATGTTCGTAGACAAAAAATCAGCATGCATTACCAGGGGTTTTGAAAAGATGTCAATTGATGGAAATTTTTGTATAATTCAAAGAAAAATATACCAAAATTACTAAACGTATATTTTAGATGTTTTGTTTACCCAAACTTGTTTTAGAATAAGTGTACAACAGCATATATAGACATTAAAATGTAGCACACAGTTCCTTTAAGTATTGGAACTCTTCAACTCCAGGGAAAAAGACAATATAGTTCAAACTACGTTGCGTATGTCCTTAATGGTCTATTCTCAGGCTTATAATAGGTATAAATTTTGGGGTCTACACCAATCCCCACACTTTACAACATTTCAAATCGAGTCAAGTTAATTTGACAGCAATCATAATTCCAATCCCAAATAAAGAAAAAAATGTATTTTATGTAACATTCAGTGTCTGGCCCGTTTTTGTTCTTTCATTTCAATTCAATTATGAAATATGAAGATAACGAACAGAAATAAATCTCAAAAGTCCATTGAAAAAATACAAATTTGGATCAGAGCCAAATCCCTTGTCATTATCGGGCAAACGGAAAAACCCGTAGATAATTCAGTGTTTATATTATACATTTATTGCATGATAGTGAGGGAAATATGAAGATTAATTCAGCCAAGAAATATCATATTCCCCGAGGGCTTCGCCCCAGGGGAATATGATATTTCTTGGCTGAATAAATCTTCATGTTTCCCGAACATTCATGCAATGAATTGTTTATTATACCGAAACAAGCAAAAACTTTGAAATAAAAATAAACTTTCAAATTCGACATCGCTCTTAAATTCACTTTCATTTTTAACGTAAAGTTACTGAAACCCTTTGACACATCACTAATCATCAATTTTGTGACGTACACCAGGCTATTGTGACGTCTTCTACTCTCGGGAGTTTTCTTTCAACGAACGATTTAAGAGCCATTCTCTGTAACGACTTGAACTTTTATAAAGGAAATGTGGCACGCATAGTCTCAGAATTTCTCCAAACTCTCTACGATAAAAGTCTTTTATACCGTAAACTCAAATCAGGCAAAAATTGGTTGCTACGTGTCATGTTTACCATGGCAACATGTCCTAAAGTTTGAAAAATGGCATTTTTCAACATGTTCAGAGCCCCACAGTTAACGTTTGCAGAAAAGCAAACAAGTGGCAATGATTGTTTCTGAAAGTTGAAGGCCTGATGTCTTAAATGCATGATAAACATGTTTGGTAAATCAACTATTACATACGTTACTATGGAAACAAAGTATTCAAGTAATAATTTTGCTCATTTAATTTTATAAGATCATACACTTAAGAATAAAAATAAATTATAGGTTGAAATGCAAGCAAATAATAGACAAGAGATCCTTGTAACATATACCAAGGAAGAAATATGGTATTTCTTATAGGTTGGCAATGGTTGCCATGGTTTTAACACCAAGAAGGGATTTTCAATTTACTCTCTTAGTGTTTAAATCTAATCCTATCTTTTTAAAAAGCATATTTCTAAATAACTAATGAACAATTTTTAAAGACGTTCATGTGACCCTAATTTTCACATTTCAAAAAATTCAAATTCAATTCTTTAAATAGAGCGTTGCTATGGAAATAAGCCGAAAAAATATGCATAAAAATCTGAAAAATATTCTGTTTCCTTGGATACGTACCCTTGTATGTAGATTCCCAAAACTTTTATGATTGATAATTATGAACAACTAACCTGACTTTAAATTTTGACTGCCACCCAATCTCTAACTGGATGCAAAAAGCTGGCACATAGGGTTTAATATTGATATAAAATTAACAAAATCGAACATTTTCCCTTCTTGGTTACCATAGCAACAGTGTTGTATTTTTCAACAAACGTTATCAATATATGATATTCAACTTTAGTTCTTCCAGATAAGTACTATTCAAGGTGAGTCAAATAATATGTTTCTTGAATAAAAGGTAAGAAAATTCCTAAGGCAGCAAAAAAAATATCACTTTAAACAACTGGTACATTGTTTCCATGGTTACACTGCAAAGTAACAATTAATCCCAATTTTTCTTATTTTGTCGGTGTTGCAAGGTCTTAAGGATGTATATGTGCCAGTCATGAATGTTATTGTTTTTCCTGAAGATAGTAGCATTAACCCAATCTTAGCAACATATTTTGCATGGTTACACTGTGTTACCATGGCAACCATGAAAGTAATTTTTAGAATAATATTGCCAATACCTAATTACTTAAGGTC